CATACTCCTCTTTATATATTTTTATATTTATTTAGTTAGTGGATTTTTATTATCAGCTCTGATAATAATCCTGAAAAGTAAAAATAGAGATTTAAAAAACACAGTAAAATATAGTGCTAAACTATTTAATAGTAGTGAAGAACATACAAAAATAAGCCAAAAGTAAACTATTCAGAATATACTACATGAACCTTTATGTAAAGAAATTTGAAAGTCAATACACAATGTGTATGTTTAGGAAAAAAAAATTTTAAATGACCAAACTTAATGATCAGGTAAGAAAATAATAAAATACATTGCCAAAACATAAGTAATTTGGCTAAAAAAAAGAGAGAGTGAGGCTTCAGAGTCAGGCAGCTCTATAGATAAGTATCTTAAGGACTACATAAAATTATTTCAGGAGGAAAAAACTAATTAGCTGATATTGAAAACTAAACAATATAGCAAAAAAAGTAAGGTCAACCTACACATCTATCTCAACTATTGACTTAGAAATAAAAACAGTAGCTTTTGTAATAATTGCCAAAGCTTGGAGGCAAGCAAGATGTCCCTCCACAGATGAGTAGGTAAATACAGACTATTAATCAGGGTTAAAAAGAAATATATTACTAAGTGAAAAAACTAATCTGAAAAGATATATGATTCCAACTATAAAACATTCTGTAAAAGCCAAAACTGTGGATACAGTAAAAAGGTTCCTAAGGGTTGGAAGGGGTGGAGAATAAACAGGAGGAGCAGGAAGGGAAGTGAAATGAACATACTTCATGATACTATAATGACAGATAGATAGAATTATATATTTGTCTAAACCCATGGAATAAACAATACCAACAGTAAAATCTAAAAGTAAATGTGGAATTCAGGTGATTATGATGTGTCTATGAAGTCCTACCAACCCTAACAAATGTGCCATCTTGGTGGAGGGCTGTTGATAATGGAAGAAACTATGAAGGTGCAAGGTTAGTATGTATAAAAGAAATCTCTGTACCTTCCTCTCAATTTTACTATTAACCTAAACCTGCTCCAGCTCCACAGAAAAAAATCTTGTTAGCTCAGTGGTAGAATGCTTGGTTATGCTTGGTTTTAGCCCTACAACCACAGGAGGAAAAAAATCCTAAGTAAAATATTTTTAAAATTTAACTCTATATAAGGAAAAATATCCTTTTCTAATCTGCAAGATGATAGTCAACACGAGTATATAAGAACTGTTCAAAATTGTGTAGATAACTACCCACCAATAATCATTATAGATTATTTATTATCAAAATCAGTATTCAGCGAAGTACTGAATACTAATACTGAAGTACTGCTCAGTACAAAAGGTACTGAGAATTTGATTAAACTAATACACATGTCGATATTCACCTTTAGTTCTCTAGTATGTCGATCAACAACCTGTTGAACATTGAGATTGGCCTCTTTCTGAGAAGTTATGGAAATAATACGTTCTTCAGCTGCTGCTGTCATTTCAGTCCGGAGTTCCAAAAGTGCTCGACTAAGTGCCTGAAAATTACAATATATGTTAAACTTTTAAAGGAAAATTGGTATTTATGTAAGCAGTATATAATACAAAAAAAGCTTAATTACTTTCTACTATTTTCCTAAAATGTCTGTGTTTAATCAAACATAATTCATGAACAACTTTTTCAAGTGAATTTTCTTTAGCAATTATGCTAAATTCTTCCAAAATTGAGAGTGGGAGTTCAAAATCTTGACAATGATCTGAAGGACCAAGAATTAAATGAAGCAAATTATATTACAAAAACTAAGCATGTTTTGTTTTCAAGTTTAATAATTTGATCATTTAGTACATCCTTCCATGTGAAATGAATTGAATTTAGGCAGATAAGGAATGTGACAGGAAAAGGCTTAAAATATTTGCCAGAAATTTTCATTTGTAAAAACAGAAAAATAGTAGCATCTGCTAAAACAATTTCAATACATCCAATCTAAGATATGAACAAAAGAAGCCAGATAATCTACTGGCCAACTTCTCCCCACCAAACCACCTCTGTGATTCCTCTCCTTCTTTAATCTCTCCTTACTATCATACCTTCCTCTTAATCCCTTAAATTGTTCAAAATAGTCCCAGTAGAAGAGCAGAGAAAATAATTAGGATTTCCCTTATTTCTTGTAGATAATCTACAAATCATTAATGGTAACATAAAAAGGTAAATTGAAGTATATCTGCATTTTAAAACAAACACTCAATAGGCTATTTAAGAACTAACTGTCTTGAAAGAACTGTCATATTTAATGCGTGATAAAGCTCATGCTTATTATTATAACACAGAAAGTAATACTATTTTTTACAAATCTACAAATCTCTACCTACTTAACCTGTGATGAAGCTTATGTTTGTTATAACATAGAAAGGTAGACTATTTTTACAAATCTACAAATCTTCTCTATCTCTTTTTCTAAATATTAATAATTTTTGTCATTTCTTACTTTTTGTTGTTTCTCTTTCAAGGCTAATTGGCTCTTTAGCCGGTCTACTAGATTTCTCATTGTAGTTGTTGGAGCTCTTGAATTTGCTTCTTTTTGAGCTTGAAGTTCAGACTTTAAACTCTGAGACTCCTTTTGTGACTTGGCCAGAAGACACCTTAAATCCTCTACTTCTGCTTTCACTTTTTTCACTTCACATGCATGGTTTTCTTGGAGCCTAAGATAAACAAACTTATGTATTAAAAAAAAAGTATGTATTTAATAGAACAGATGTTGCAATTAATACCTTGATAAAAAGTTTTTATGAAAGTATAAAATAGCTACAAGTATTTATACAACTACTTCAAGTTTATATAAAATATATTTCAAAAGATGATTATATTTTGCACTCAGAAATTAGATGTAAAAGCGTAATTAATTTTATAAAATTACTAAAACATGACATAAATTTACTGTACCAAAAATAACCTTTCATAGATAAGATTTAATAGAACAACGAAAACAGACTAAAAATATACCATATGCTTTTGCTAGTTCTCTTTTCTTTTAGAGAAAAAGTGGCAACTACTTGCATATTAACAAATATGTGTGAATTTTGTTAGTGGCATCTTGGATAGGTAAGTATACAATCAAAGGGTTCAATAGGTTATCACAGCATTATAAGTTAAGCAGGTCAACATTCTAATTATTTTCACATAAGAAAATCAAGGCCCAGAAAGATAACCATAAACTTAGGTCTATAAACAAAAGCTCTCTATTTACATGTGGTACTTCAATCTTCAAATTACTTTCAGGTACAGTACCATTAGGACTTCATAAAACCCACTCTGAAGCAGCCAGTGTCAATATTGCCATTTCTGTTTTACAAAGAACAAACTGACATTCAAAAAGGTTATAAATGAAATTCTGGAGAAGAATTTGGATTGGTTTTTGAGCCAGACAGAGAGTAGTTTCAAACCGTGACTTTCGCACCTCTGCCCAGTCATGATACTGAGCTTAAGGCCTCCTTTCCTACAGCAAAAAATAACAGTGAACCAGTGAACTCGTCAGGTCCTGGTCTTTTCTTTTTTGGGAGACTCTTTATTACTGCTTCAATTTCCTGTTATAGACCTATTTATGTGATATATCCTCTTGGTTCAATTTTTGGTCGATCATTATTTATTTCTTCTAGATTTTCCATTTGTTTCAGTATAAGTTTTTAAAATATTTCCTAATGATCCTCTGGATTTCACTGGTGTTTGTTGTGATAACCCCTTTTTTCATTTCTAATTTTATTAGTTTGGGTCTTTTCCTTCCTTATTTTAAGTCAGGTTCACTAATAGTCTACCAATATTATTTATCTTTTCAAAGAACCAACTTTTTGTTTCATTGATTCTTCAGGTGGCTTTTTCGATCTCTTATCATGCTGATTTTGATCCTTACTGTTATTATCACGGTCCTTCTGGTTTTGGGTTTAACTTGTCCTTGTTTTTCTAGGAGTTTCAGATGCAGCATTAGGTCACTTATTTGAGATGCTTCTGTGTTTTTAATGTAGGCACTCGTAAGTATAAACTTTTTCCTTTAGCACTTCCTTTGCTGTACCCTGTAGGTTCTGGTTGGTTGGGTTTTCACTTTCATTAGATTCCAGAAACTTTGATTCCTTCCCTTATTTCTTCAATGATCACTGGTTGTGCAACAACATATTATTCAGTCTATAGGTGTTGGAGTATTCTCTACTGTTTTTGTTATTGAATTCCAGTTTTATTCTGTTTGTAGTCACATAGGATGCAGGAAGTTGTATCAATTTTCTTATAATTGTTAAGACTTGCTTTGTGTCTTAAAATGTGATCCATTTTGGAAAAAGTTCCATGGGCTTCTGAGAAGAATATGTATTGTGCTTCTGCTGAATGAAAAACTCTGTAGATGTCTATTAAGTCTATTTGGTTTATAGTATCATTTAATTCGTAAGTTCTTTTGTTGACTGTTTGTCTGGATGACCTATCTATTGGTGACAATGGAGTATTAGTCTCCCACAATCATTATGTTGGGGTCTATGTTGCTTTTAAGTTCACTAGTGTTTCTTTAATGAAGTTGGCTGTGCTGGTATTAGATGCATTAACAACAGTTAACAATTGTTATTTCCTCTTGATGTAGTGTTCCTTTTATTCACGTGGAGTGACCTTTTTTTGTTGTCTCTTCTGAGTAATGTAGGTTTGAAGTCTACATATAAGTACAGCCATTCCTGTCTGTTTTCAGGTTCCATTTTGGGTCTTTTCCTTATAAACTTATTTTAGATTTAAAATTAATGTTCTGATAAACTGGATGAATAGTATTTATAACTGGCAAGTTCCTGGCATGGGATGGCACAGCCACTAGCACATGTCTGCCTTGGAAAAAGCCTCTGGCTCTTTCTCCATTTTTTCTCTGTTCTTGCAAAAAGCAGAAGACTAAGGATCAAATAGAACTGGACTCTGTGACATACTGGACCCCTAACCTACGGACAGCCTACATATACCTCACCAGCCTGGACCCAGTCCCAGTGAGTGTCTGCCTTGGAAAAGGCTACCTGCCATTTCTCCCTGCCAGCCTAGACCCAATTCCACCTGTGTGAATCTGCAAACCCAAACAGGTGACTACCACATACCACATGACCTCCCAGGAACATCATCCAGCAGAGCTTGTGGGCAGACTGCACTCCCCTCTGAACAAAACTGAATGACACAGACAGTGAATATAATTCACCACTGTCAGCGGGGCTGGGGTGGAACACTGACCCAACCTCAGAGAGTGGGGGTGGGGTGAGGAGCTGAACTCTGGAGAGCAGTTGCAGGGTGAGAAACCAACCTTCCAGAGGTGGGGGAGCAGAGGATCACTGAGTCTATCTCGTGGGACTATGGATGGCACACAAAACTGAGTTGCCCCACCTTGTTGAGGGAAGAGCTGACCAGCCAGAGTTGAGGCTGTGGAGCAACTCAGCTGAACCCTGGTGAAAACAAGCATATCTGACCACCTTGGACAATCTGATAGTGAGTAACCACAGACCTCAATTGCAACCTGCCTGTGGGCAGAAGGAACCAATGACTGTTCATAAGCCAACCTTCTGGTGAGACCATGTCAAAGATCCCACCTGTACCAGATGGCCCATCAGACTAAGGAAAAGAAGATTCAAAAAACCCCTAGCCGACTCCCCGCTAAGAAGTCTGACAAAGAGGAACAGCATCCTTCCTCACACAGCCCAGCACATCAACCTTGAGAAGAGATAGGGACACTGACAAAGCCCCAGTTGAAAGCACCAGTACCTAGATTGATGCCAAAGGACTAAGTCCAGAGCTTTCACCAAACTGATTTTTTTCTTTTTAAATTTATTCTATTTTTCTTTATTATTCCTATTTTTCCCCATTTTTATTTACTACTTTTAATTTATTACTATTTTCTTATCTTTATTCTTACTCCCTTCACTTTCTCTCCTTTTCTCCATCATTCTCCCTCCTCCAACTATTTTTTCTGCCCCTTTTCATCCATTCTCCCTGTTTTCACTTCCACGCTCCCTCCTTGCCTTCCCCTACCTTTCACAGCACTACCCCTCCCTCCTCTACACTTACCACTTGCTCATAAGTCTACTCTACCAACACTATACACCCTATCCCTCTGCAATCCCTAATACAAGCATCCTCCACTACAACAACTGAAATACACCCTAACACACACACACAGGGGACCTAAAACCCCATAGCCTCCACACCTTTTCCTCCACTTACCCCACCTCCCTTTTCTTCCCTTCCCCAGTGCCATCTTTTTAAATTACTCAAATATCTATCTCTATCCAAGCTAGCCAATCAATAACATAGGAGCATGGCACAAAATAGAAGCATGGGGAGAAGAGGAAGGTAAGAAATTCCACCCCTCAAAAGACCAACAATTCAATAGAGGATTTAGTGGGAAATGAATAAAATGAATACCCAGTTCCTGACCCCAACAGAATGATGATGAATATGATCAGTGAACTCAATGTAAAGAATTGCTCAAAGAAGAAATCAAGGAGATCACTGAGCTACTTATGGAGAAGCTTCAAGAGAAGGTTAAACAGAACATACAAAATCAACTTAAAGAATATCAAAACAATAAAGACCACCAAACCACCACTACAGAAGATTCTGAAAGGAAACCTACACACAGACAATGAAAACAACATAAGCAGAAAAGGACAGGAAGTATTAAACCTCATGGGTAGAATAGACAAACAGTCAAAGAGTAGCACGGAATTGGCTGCACACATTCAAGTCTTTGAACAACAAAAACAACTAAATGGTAAAAATCACCACATACTTCTAAATATTAACACTGAAAATTAACGGACTCAACTCCCCCATCAAAAGACACCATTTCACAAACTGGATTAAAAAGGAAGACCTGACAATCTGCTGTTTACAAGAAATCCACCTACTGACAGAAACAAATACCATCTTAGGGTGAAAGAGTAGAAGAAGATTTACCAAGCTAATGGCTCCCAAAAACAGGGAGGAGTAGCAATACTTGTATCAGATAAAGTGACCTCAAACCTAAATTAGTCAGAACAGACAAAGAAGGTCTCTTCATACTAATAAAAAGAGCAATACATCAAGAGGAAATAACAGTTATCAACTTATATGTACCCAATGTCCGTGTATCCAACTTCATTAAAAATACTCTATAGGGGAGGGGATGGGAGGTAGGGATGAAAAATGACCCAAACATTGCATGCACATATGAATAAATGAAAAAAAAATACACTATAGGACTTAAAATCACAGATAGACCCCAACACAGTGGTAGTGGGAGACTTTAATACCCCTCTGTCAACAATAGATAGGTCACCCAGACAAAAAAATCAACAAAGAAATTCTAGAACTAAATGACACCATAGATCCAATGGAGCTGACAGATGTCTTCAGAGTATTCCATCTTGCAATAGCACGACACATTCTTCTCAGCAGCCCATGGAACTTTCTCCAAAATAGACCATATCCTAGGGCACAAAACAAGTCTCACCAAATATAAGAAGACTGAAATCACCCCGTGCACATTGTCTGATCACAACACAATAAAACTAGAACTCAACAAAAGAAGCAGAAAATACACAAACAACTGGAGACTGAACAATACATTGCTCAATGATCAGTGTGTCATAGAAGAAATAAGAGAGGAAATCAAAAAGTTCCTGGAATTTAATGAAAAGGAAAACACAACCTATCAGAACCTATGGGACACAGAAAAGGCAGTCCTTCTAAGAAGAAGGTTTAGAGCTGTGAGTACACATATTAAAAACATAGAAAGATCGCAAATAAATGACCTAATGCTGCATCTCAAAATCTTAGAAAAACAAGAACAAGCTAAACCCAAAAGAAGCAGGAGAGAAATAATAAAAATATGCACTAAAATCAACCAAATAGAGACCAAAACAGCCATACAAAGAATCAAGGAAACAAAAAGCTGGTACTTTGAAAAATTAAACAAGATTGACAAACCCCTGGGAAATCTGACTAAAAGGAGGAGGGAAAAGACCCAAATTAATAAAATCAGAAACAAAAAAGGGGAGATAATAAAAAACATCAAGGAAATTCAGCAAATAATCAGGGACTACTTTGAAAATCTACATTCAAATAAATTGGAAAATCTAGAATAGACAAATTTCTAGATATGTATGACCATCCAAAACCGAACCAAGAAGAAATTAATCACCTAAAAAGATCTATAGCATGCAATGAAATTGAAGCAGCAATAAAGAGTCTCCCAAAGAAGAAAAGTCCAGGACCTGATGGAGTCTCAGCTAAATTTTACCAGACCTTAAAAAGAAGAACTAATACCAACACTCCTCAAACTTTTCCACAAAACAGAATGGGAAGGAGCACTGCCAAGCTCATTCTATGAAGCCAGTATTACACTCATCCCAAAACCAGACAAGGACACATCCAAAATAGAGAACTACAATCTCCTTAATGAACATAGATGCAAAAATGATCAACAAAATAATGGCAAACCAAATTCAACAACATATCAGAAAGATCATACATCATGATCAAGTTGGCTTCATCCCAGAGATGCAGGGATTATTCAACATATGCAAAATCACTTAAAGTAATATAACATATTTACAGAAGCAAAGACAAAAGCCAGTTGATCATCTCAATAAATGTAGAAAAAGCCTTCAATAAAATTCAACACCATTTCATGATAAAAGCTCTAAGGAAACTAGGAATAAAAGGAATGTACCTCAATAAAGACTACATATGACAAACCTATAGGCAACATCATTCTTAATAAGGAAAAACTGAAACCTTTCCTTTAAAGTCAAGAATGAGACTAGAGTACCCACTCTCTATTCTTATGCAACATGGTCTTGGAATTTCTAGCCAGAACAATAAGATAGGGGGAAGAAATAAAAGAAATACAAATAGGTAAGGAAGAAGTCAAATATCCCTTTTCAGAGACATCATGACCTTATAACTGAAAGACCTGAAAAACTCCACCCAAAAACTCCAAGACACCATAAACAGCTTCAGAAAAATAGAAGGATACAAATCAACTTACAAAAATCAGTAGCCTTTTTATACACCAACAATGAACAGATTGAGAAAGAATATAAGAAAACAATTCCATTTACAATAGCCTCAAAAAAAAAATTAAATACCAGGAATAAGCTTAACAAAGGATGTGAATGGCCTCTACAAGGAAAACTGCAAACCACTGAAGAAAGAAATCGAAGAAGACTAAAGAAGATGGAAAGATCTCCCATGCTCATGGATTGGTAGAATCAACATAGTAAACATGGCTATACTACCAAAAGCAATCTACGTGATCAATGCAATTCCCATCAAAACCCCAATGACATTCATCATGAAATTGAAAAATAAACCTGAAATTTCATCTGAAAGCACAAAAGACCACAAATAGCCAAGACAATACTGAGCAAAAAGAACAATTCTGGAAGTATCACAATACCTGACTTAAAACTATAATACAAAGCCCCAGAAATAAAAACAGCATGGTATTGACAAAAAAACAGATATGAAGACCAGTGGAACAGAGTAGAGGACCTAGATATAAATCCACACAGGTATGCCCACCTTATTTTTGACAAAGGTGCCAAAAACATACGATGGAGAAAAAACAGCCTCTTGGACAAATGTTGCTGGAAAAACTGGGTATCTGCCTGTAGAAAACTGAAAGTAGAACCATGTTTATTGCACTGTACAAGTATCAACTCAAGGTGGATTGAGGACCTTAATATAAGACCTGAAACCTTGAGCTAGTACAGGAAAGAGCAGTGAATACACTGGAAGCAATAGGCATGGTAATGACTTCCTCAGTAGAACTCATGTGGCTCAGTAACTGAGAGAAATGAGCAACAAATGGGACTACATGAAATTTAAAAACTTCTGCACAACAAAAGAAATGGTCTCTAAATGGAAAAGACTATCCACAGGATGGGAGAAAAATCTTTGCCAGGTATACATCTGACAAGGGCTTGATAACTAGCATATACAGGCAGTTCAAAAAACTAAACTCCCCAAAAATCAATGACCCGATGAAGAAATGGGCAAATGAACTGAACAGATCCTTTTCAAAGAAAGAATTCCAAATGGCTAAAGAACAGACTTGAAAAATGCCCAATATCCCTGGCCATAAAGGAAATGCAAATCAAAACCACATCAAGATTCTACCTTACTTCTGTTAGAATAGCTACCATCAAGAACGCAAATGACAACAAATATTGGAGAGGATGTGTGGGGGAAAAGGAACCCTCATACACTTCTGGTGGGAATGTAAACTAGCACAACCATTATGGAAAGCAATATAGAGGCTCCTTTAAAAAAACTAAAAATAGACCTGCTATATCCAGCAATACCACTTCTAGGGATATACCCAAAGGATTGTGACTCAGCTTACTTCAAAAGCACTTCTACACCCATGTTTATTGTAGCAGTATTAAACTGACTGAAACTTCCATAAGAAAGAGACTAAGGGAGAATGAAGAAAATTAGAGGAGATAAACCAATTGTGGTTATAATACATATATACATGGAAATATCACAAGGAAACTCCCTATGTAGCTACCTATCTCAAACAGGCTAAAATGTCATTTTTTTTTTTTTCTACAAAACTGGGGAACAAGAGGATGGAACAAGTCCTGCCCAGGGAGGAGGGCTGGCACCAATGGGAGGGGGGAGGTGTTGGGGAAAGGGGGTTAGGAGGGTTAATACAATACAAAAAAATGTGTATACCTATATGTAAATGCAAAAAATGATAACTATTAAAACTCCTCCTGGAATAGGGGGGGTGAAGAAAAATGGTAGAGGAGTTGAATTCATGTATGATATATATGATATATTGTAAGAACCTGTGTAAATGCTGTAATGTACCTCCAACTATTACAACAATGAAGGAAAAACAACACAAAACAAAAACCCATATAAACAGAAGCAAGGACAAAAGACCTCTACAATAAAAAATATAATACACTAAAGAAAGAAATTGAAGAAGACACCAAAAATTGGAAATAGCTCCCATGCTTATGAATTGGCAGAATTACTATTGTAAAAATGGCTATATTACCAAAAAGGAATCTATATGTTCAATACAATCTCCATCAAAATTCCAATGACATTCCCCACAAAGATTGAAAAAAACTCTAAAGTTCATGTGGAAGCACAAAAAAACCCACAAATAGCCAAGGCAATTCCAAGAAAAAGAGCAATACTGGAGGCATCACAATACTCACCTTTAACATATACTACAGAGCCATACAAATAAAAACTGCACAGTACTAGCACAAAAACAGACACGAAGACCAATGGAAAAGAATAGAAGATCCAGATATAAGTCTACTCAGGCACAATCACCTGATTTTTGACACATTTCCAAAACATACAATAAAGACAGTATCTTCAACAAATGTTGCTAGGAAAAGTGGCTATCTGCATGTAGAAGACTGAAACTGTATCCATGTCTTTAACCCTATACAAATACCAATTCAAAGTACATCAAAGACGTTTATAAAAAGCATGAACCTTTGAAACTAGTACACAAAAGAGGAGGGAATATATTGGAACGTATGGGAATAGGCAATAACTTCCTAAATAGAACTCCAATGGTTCAGCAACTAAAAGAAAGGATTGACAAATAAAACAATATAAAACTAAAATGCTTCAGCCAGTAAAGAAAATGGTCACCAGACTGACGAGGCAGTCCACAAAATGGAAGAAAATCTTTGCCAGCTGTCCAACATGGGACTAATAAGCAGAATTTAAAGAGAACTCAAAAAAAACTAAATTCCCAAAGAATCAATGATCCAATGAAGAAAAGAGCAAATGAACCGAACAGAGCTCTTTCAAAGGAAGAGGATAAAGGAAGTTGAATAGGTTGATGTACTTGCTATACATGTATGAATATGGAACATTGAAACCTACTGAAGTTATTGTCACAAGGTGAATGGGATAGGAGGGAGAATAATGGAGATGAATCAAATTGAAGTATAATATATGAATGCATCAAAATAAACAACCAAAACCCTTGTATAACTATCATATACTAATAAAAAAGTTAAGAAATAAATGACATGCATCACAAGTAGACCTGGGGATAAAATAATATGCATGAAGATCTTAGAACAGTGTCAGGAGCAGCAAACACCTAAGTTGTCTTCATTGTATCAGACTTACCTTTTGCTTATTTTTAAAATAAACTTCTAAGACTTACTGTAATTTGATACTTTCAAATTCTTTTACTTTTAAATCTGTGATTTCTTTTTGTCTCTCTAGATCTTGTGATATTTTCTCTAGTTTGATCAAAAGTGAGGAAAGAGAGTTATCTTGTTCTGCTACTGTCTGTTCCATCTCAGCCAGACGAATAAAATGCTTGTTGGTAGGAACTGGAGTAGGCGATTGTTTTATTAAATCCTGTGAAATATGAATATATTAGCCATGGGCATGTGTAATTCAAAGCCATTTCTTATTCCATAATTATAATTTGGTCCTTCAAATGAAATATACAATCTAAATTCAATAATTTGGTAGAAAATGGAGACTTAAAGAAGAAAAACTATAGAAATCTTACTCTTCATATTTCCAGTACTTAGCAAAGTGTCTATGCGCAGTGGAGAATCAATAAATGTTGATTTATACAATGAAAATTCTTTGCACAATTATTTTATGCTAATTTAAAATTAAAAGTAATTAAATGTTGTTTTAACTAACAAGGTAAGGCTGAAGGATCCGGAGAGGCATGTATAAGCTCAATTTAGGAAACAGATACAAACTTATAATGAAGAGAATTTGAAAACACCAAGGTCTGATCATAGCAGGTTCTGAGTACATAGCAAAGGTGTATAAACATGCTCTGTGAGCAGTGGTAAACTACTGAAGAATTTGCATATGAGAAGAGGAATGATCACAGCTGTGTTTTAGAAGATTATCTTCACAGGAAAAAAAAAGTGGGCTGAATTCTGCTCTGAAGAAAGTAGAATTTTTACTTCTGGAGAGGTATAAATTTTAAATTTAATCTGAAAAAAATCAATAAAGATAGGTCAAATTTATTAGATCTTACCTGAGCTGTTTGTTTGAATTTATTGAGTGAACTATCAGCCTGTAGTTCTAATTTATGATGAAGAATATGAAGGTCTTCTTCATGTTTCTTTACAATTTCTCTTTGCTCCTGTTTTGTAGAAAATAAATAATATATTTTAAATTGTGATTAAAATAAATTCACATTCCAAAGATCTTTACTTCACTATCTTTAACTTTCTAAAACTGAGATAGGGAATGAGCAATATTTGCATGTTTATGTTTAGTTAGACCAGTATACATCTCCCCTACCATAAGTTCATGTTGACGACACCAGCTGAAGATCTCAGTTTATCCTTAGCATTAGAGTAACATGTACCTATTTTAAATTGTTTCTTGAAAACTTAAAATATTAGTTATTTCCCCCACAGTCTTAGCCAATCAGATTTCCACTGATCACCAGTGTGACAGATTTCATTTTAACTTACTGTCTCAATCCTTACTTTTAAGCTAAATTGTTAATTCTGAAAAATCACATGGTTTCACTGTGATAGCTATTCCTGGTTTAGTTTGGTCCACAAGAGAAAGATACGCATACATAAACTGCCAGTTTTACCAACAGATCAGTTAACCAATCATGTGAAAGCAACAATTCCTAAATAGAACCATTTGAAAGCAAGAAATGAACTACCACTTCAGCCAGAATAATTGATGGCATTTTACTGAACAACATGAAATAAAGAAGCATAACATAATGTGATAAAATACCTCTCTGGCCTTTTCTAGAAGGTGTTGGTACTTCTTTAGTATTTCGTCTTTTTGATTTAACCTTGCTTGCATATTTATAATGGTTTGATGAGCAATTTTCATTGTGTAATGGGATTTTGGTTCCATCTCTCTTCTGCTTAGGTCAGCTATCAGTTTTTCTCGTTCTGCAGTAGCAGGCAACCGAAGCCTCAGTTCATTGATTACTTTGTCTCTTGATAGAATATTTTGTTCTGCTAACCGTAAAGCAGATTCTTTTTCTTTTAGCTTCTGCATTCAAATCACAATAAATTAATAAATTTTTTCCCTTTAAAAAGCTTCATCTGAATTTTACCTTATTTATAAGCAAAACAGTTCACTTTATTTTTCACATATTTATAAGGGCCATGGGATTGATTATATTTTTATGACAGCAGTTATTTGCATTCATATTTTATTTTATAAGATTATTATTAAAAACTTCACTGTTAGGCTGAAAATGAAATTTAATTGAGTCACTTTATTTAGATCCTACAGCTTAAAACTAAGAATGAGTAGTGGTGCTAGATTTTGAAAGAAAATATAAAAATAATTAATTGTGCTTCAGTTCACTATCAGAGCACTAAAAGATAAATCCATAAAACTCAACTGAGTACAAAAATGGAATTTTAGTAACCTAAGACATTTAATCACTGTTTTAAAATCTGAAGGTTACCTAAACCAAACAGAAAAAAGTTTTATTCTAGTAGGATGAAAGCACATATTTTAAATAACTCAGTGGTAATTCATATAATCTACAATTCTTATAATTTCTGAAGAAAATCTGTTTCCTGAATGGATTAAAAATGTATAATCTTACAGAAAAACTGTTTTTAAATGTATTTATAGTAAGTATGTTAAGTGGAAACTAAAATGAAAATAATATTCAGTTTGAATTATTTTCTGAACAGTTTAATTTAAAAAACTAAGCTGACCTATGAATCAAATTCAATATTTAAGTAATTTGTAATTTATCTTCTCTTTTAACCACTCATAAAAAAAAAGAGGAATGAACTGAAAATTATTTCATAGGATGTATGATAGGTACTTCAAAATAAAACATAAAAATAAATAAAGATGAAAAGAGCACACTAGGGAAGGTAGCACTGTTCAAAAGCTACAATTAAATGCTCTTTTTGTTTCCTTTGATGCTCACTTTTACTGCTCAGTGTGCTACAAAGTGACAAGTAGTAATTAAATTAATAGTGAATTCAATTTAGCTGTATCTGCTGTTTATTATCAGTTATTAGAAATGTTAGAGGAAAACAGAAAAATAGAGTAGAATTAGCAACAGATTCATCATTTTATGCCTCATCTTCATTAATAAATATTTAGAAAATTCTACATGCATACTTCATAAAATACAAACCAAAATGCAAATACTGCTATTTACCTCTTCTAGTGATTTACAAGTTGCCCGTGTTTCTAGAATTGTTCGAACATTCTCTTTAATTTTTTTTAGTGCAATCTCAAGTTGATTTGGAAGGGTCAAACTGGGGTCTGGCATTGAGCCTGTAGCTTCTTCAAACTATTAAGAAATATTGGGTTTAAAATAAGACAGTTGCAGCATTAAGAACAGAAATATTAATTTTTAAGACATATAACCAAATATACAGTAAATATCACTTACATTAAAAAAAAAAGATAACATAAAAACTGTATCTGATTTAGAAAATATTTCTGTCAGTAAATGTTCTAGGCCATGTTACAGAGTAGCAAACAGGATGGTCCTTTGTACCTTTTGTGCTGCATTTAGTATTTCATTTTGTTGACGGTCAAAAATGTCTAGTTGACGTTCTAGCTCAACTTCTCTCTGATCCCAAGCCATCTGCCTTTCCTCATGAAACTGCAAGACAATTTGTTTCAAGTGTGTATATGGAGACACTAGGCTATAATAGGCATTTTAAGTACATTTTCTTATTTAATCCCATGATAACCCTTTAAAGTCACTGTGTAACATTCTCATTTTATGGAAAGGATACAAAGTCAGGAGGTAAACTTGCCTAAGATCACAGAAACAGAAAGGTATGAAGTCAGAATTTCAATTTATTCATCTGTCTACCTATCCCAAGCAAATCTAATGACATACACTATTTTCAAAGCACTATTCTATACAGTGTGCAAAAATAACAATGAACCAAACCAACTCTTTGTCACCATGGAATTTTTATTTCAGTAAAGAGGAGACAGAAAATAAAATAAACAAGTTTATGTCAGAAGATGAACACTAGCAATACAAAATGAAGATAAGTAATCTCTATTTAGGAAATTTTGATGATAGATTTACCATTCTAGAACAGTGGCAGGTATAGATTGTACTAATAAAGCAACACATTTATTTAAGATCTTATGACAGTGACAGTATAAACACCACAAATGTCTAGGGTCAGAAAATTTAAGCAGAGAGTGCAACAAAATCTCTGAGGCAAGCATGTGCTGGATGAATTTCATCAACCTCCAAATCATGTACTTTATTCTACACAGGCTGCTTCAACTCCATTAGTGTGAGCTAGGATAGCAATTGCTTGCAGAAGTCAAGAAATTGATATCAGAATAAAAATTAACTTACAAAGTTTCCTCACATATTGCTTTTTTCAAGATTATGGCTTCAACTGCATAAGTAAATAACTACTTTCAGAATAATTAAAAAACATTATTTTATAACATATTAATAATTGAAGTTATACTCAGTTAGGAAAAATAACACAACGTTCTTATAATGTTCTTATGTTTAAAATCTTAGCCAAAAGACAAAAACAAATATAAAATGCAACCTTGTTCTGCTGAACAATTTCTTCCTCCAGACTGTTGATAGTTTGCTCATATTCAGATATTATATTATTCAAATATTTTATTTCTTCTTTATCTCTCACTAATTCTCGATTTAGTTTAAGTTCTTGAAGACGAAGTTCTTCTATTTTCATATGCCAATTGACTACCTAAGATTTATAAATTTTATATATAGGTATATAAATGAAAATGGTTTATACATATATCTCCATTATTACAATGATTTTAATTGAAATTAATAGACAATTCATAATAAAGTAAGACAATAAAAGGTATATCTCTTGGCTCAGCCACTTGGCAAAGGTTAAGATCTCCATAGGCTTTTCTAGGAATATGTGATGTATTACAATAAAATATTCTTCAAATGATGTTGGGATAAGTAACAATAACATTCATTTTCATTCACTATCATTTGCTTATTGGGTATTTATTGTAAAAATATCATTGAAATATCAGTAGTACTTTCAAAAAGTGGTAATTCTACCACAGCAACACACATACACAGAGAGAGAGAGAGAGAGAGAGAGAGAGA